TAAGAGAACATTATAAAAATAAGAGAAATGATTTATATCACATGTAAGTAAATGATAATAACACTCAATTAATTTCGTGCGTCTAACCGCTTTTCCTGATTTTTTTTTATCTTAAACGCTCAAACCTAAACGTATAAGCTATATCAAAAAGGACCTTATATGTATAGCCAGATTTGTTTAAGGAAAACTTTTCCAGACACTGGTTAAACCTAAGATTCAAGATAATGTCATCAAGTATAAACGAAAAATAACCTACAATTAACATTATATTCACTTCATTTGAACTCTTGAAAAGAGTTGTCTCATTGGCAATCCTACCACATCTTCTCATTTTTTATATAGTAAAAAGCTACTTAACAGATTATTCAAACTATTGGTTTTGAATGTATGATAGTTAATCCACGAATGCGTATAGAACAAAGTAAAAACAAATATCAGCAAAATGACTCAGCATACAAAATATACATGTAAACATATCATTAAAGTAACCAAATATAAAGCACCGAGGCCACATTTCGACATAAAATGTTTCTTCAATGATGCTTTGGCTAAAATATTTACAAATCCCAAAACTACTTTTAAAGAGATGATAAAAACAAATAGAAGCAAGATAGAAATAGGAAGATGTGGTATGATTGCCAATGAGACAACTCTCCACAGTGCAAGAGACCAAATAACACAGAAATTAACAATTATAGGTCACAAAACGGCCTTCAATAATATAGACAGACCCGGACAAAAATCAGATATATTAATGAGTGGCACATTCCTAAATTAAAAAAAAAATTGATGTATCAACATAATATCAATAAAACAATGTCCGAAGTTTCACGCCAGTATAGAAATATTGGCTTTTTGGCTGTTGGAACCGTCATGGATAGCAATCGATCAGCAAAGGTATCAACACGGAGGCAATAATAACATCAACGGTATCAATAAGTAAAATAACAACAACAACAACAACAAACAAAAAAACGAACACCGAGAAAAATTCTAAACGGAAAGTCCCTAAGCAAATGACAAAATCAAAAGCTCAAACACATTAAACGAATGGATAACAACTGTCATATTCCTGACTTGTTACAGGCATTTTCGTATGTAGAAAATGGTGAATTAAACCTGGTTTTATAGCTTTCAAAGTCAGTGGATACCTATAACAAAATTGATAACCAAAACTATTAAATTTGAAGATGTGCAAAAAAAAAAAAAAAACAACAGACGAGTGAAAGTTTCAATTCGGAATGTCAATTAAGAATTATAGCTGATATCGCATATCATCCTTTTTTGACTGCTATTATTGAGAAATGTTACACACAATTACAAAACTGCAAACGACGCTTTGGCATATGTGATTATTTTTAATTGACGACACAGATCAAATTATAATAGGTAGAATTTAAGAGAAATCACATCATGTGTTTGTTAAAGCAAATTTATAATGTTAACGATTACACCAAGAATTGGTAAGACTTTTCAATTAATTAGAGATAGGTGAGCAACTAGTGCAAGCATAAAATGTCAGGATGCTGTATAAGTAGTGATTTATCATATAAATGTAACTGCGCACTTTGGTAATTGTTGTTCGGATGTAATATTAATGGATAATGTTTACATTAATAGCATCCATCACCTATGTGTCAATGTGTGGATTTAAACGTCTGTGAACTAGATTGAAAACGAGAAAAAAAAAACATATTGCGTAAGGAAATTATTCATGGATTACAGATACAGCTTGACCTTGGTGGGGTTTATATATAAACTGGGAGAGAATTATATGAAAATATCATTATTGAACAGAGCTATATATATTTAAAAGGTAAGAAACATATTCTGCATGCCATATTTATTTTGATATTTCAATTTTATTAGAAATAAATATTCATCTTTAAAAAGAAGTTTTTAAACCTGAAAAGTAAGACAAACATTACTATTCCTTGAATTGAAGCAAATATATAAAACTTTATCTAGATGAAAAAAATGTTTTAATTTTTGTGTATGTTACTTGAGTTAGGTATCACATTATTCATTTTAGGGAAAATATCGATATACACCCTGTCAGCAGTACTAGTGCGACCACAATACATTTACAGTAGTGATCAGTCTCTGTTATCATGAAGCATTTATTGAGCTGCCTAGTCATTGTTGTGATTGTTAATGGCATGAGTGCTTCATTATGGTAAGAAACATATTTCGTTGTAGACAAATATGTTTGCCTTGTCTCTCCTATCCGACACGAGTCATTAGACGAGGGACATCCATTTTGATTTGCGAAATTTAAAAACGCACCCACATCCAATCACAAATGGCGTTTTTAATCAGATACTTTGCACATGCATGATACCTTGATTTTTGAGTGTAAATAAATATCTCAATTATGTGATTAGTATTTCAATGACATCTTGAACGGCTAAATATTAAAATCCGTACCAATTTTGCAGGTCATTCCTAACTTATGTTTAGTTCAATTAGGGCAACTGTTCATTACCGGTGTTAAAATCTTGTACATCGATTAAGAAGGGACATATCACGGGACTTAAAAACAAACATAGAGAGAATCACATAAACTATAAAAGGAGTAAGACCGGGTGAGTCAACAGGATAAGCGTCTCGTGATATCGATATAAGAAGATTTGGTATGAGTGTCAATGAAACAACTCTCCATCTAAATCACAATTTGTAAAAGTAAACCATTATAGGTCAAAGAACGGCCTTCAACATGAAGCATTGACTCACACCAAACAGCAAGCTATAAAGGGCCCCAAAAAATGACTAGTGTAAAACCATTCAAACAGGAAAACCAACGGTTTAATCTATATAAAAAAGAGAAAACGAGAAACATGCATACCGCACCATGTGAATTACATGGGTTTTCGTCTAATGCCAATCTGAATTATGAAAACATGACAACCAAAAAACCGCTCCACATTAAAATTAATCTACGTTTATAATGTTTAATGTTTAATAAGAATATAACATTCGTTTCCTTTCCCTGTTCAAGATATACTTTGGTTGAAATGGACTAGAAAGTAACAAATAAGGGGAGATAACTCAATAATCTGCTATCATTCTAACTAAATTTATCCAAATATATCTCGAATTACAAGGCACGCAGAAACGAAAGACCTACCATTTCTAACTCAGGATGAAGTGACCTTTAAAGTAGGGTGGTAAATTCGGTGGGTTTGTTTCTAATTTGCCAGATTCTTACAAAGACTGGCACTTAAGTATTCATGAAGTACTTTAACATAATTGCCAATCGAATTAACTCAGCCATAATCGTAATGAAATAGTTTTAAAATATTGTTTTTTAATATTGGTTTGACTAGGTCAAAAAAGAACATTACAACTTGCTGAAATCAAAATCACTTAATTAAAGTTTTTGAACATATTACTTTTTTAAAAGGTTTTCAACGTTTTAAGTCATATATACGGGATATGATAGATCTGTTGTTGATATTTTGATTAACGGAATTTTACAAACATGCATTTAGTATTAAAGTATTGCGTATGCAGTCTTATATCAGTGCTGAGCTATAATGCAGCCAAAACGAAACGTATTAAGTAATTTAGTAATAATCCCTAAAGTGGAGTTATAGCATAATTTTGTTTTGGCACATAATTATAGCGATTTTATTTGCACCAATCGCTGCAATTTAGCCTTTTTTCTGATGCGACGAACAGCAATCAATATTTGTAACAAAGCTTAGTTTATGGAATAAATTAATGTGTTAACCCTGTCCTTTACGAATAGACTTTATCTAATTTTCGAATGAATCGACCGAGTTAGCATATTAATAAACTTTGTTCAAAATAACGCCTATAAATAGCTTTATCTTCTAATTAGCAATGCATATAAGTACTATATTTGTTGTTTGAGAACTTTGACATGCAAATATGTCTTCTTGTATAAGTGAACCTTTGTTAAGTGTCTCGTCTCTCTTATTTATTTTACACGATCAATTATTGTTGGGAATGAAAACAAATAAGATGGAAAACAAATCAAATTCAGGTATACAATGCTGAACAATATATGGGAAAAGTACCGTAAGATTCATTGAAATCTTTCAACTTCCATTGTATCAAGTCTTTGTTTTCCCTTCGTTCCGTTGGTTTATACAAGTTAACGTCTAATTTTGTCATTATTTCCGTTTTGAATTACCTTTGGATACTTTTGCGACTACTTTTTTGCAATGAAATGTTTAACTTTTAACTCATCATTATGTTTGCAATTGATTGATTGGTTGGTGATTGCTTTACGCCTCATCAGCACAGAAAGGTTATATCGCGGCAATTCTCAGAATTATGAATTACTTAATAATGCAATCTCAATTTAAACAGTATATTAATTTTTTGTTGATCGGTTGCTGTACATATATATACATGTAAAGATTTCGTAAACAAAAACAGTGCCTTTAATTAAAGATTTGCCGGACACAATTTAGGACTGTTGTTCGTATCACACAGGGGTGGGTGGGGATGGGTGGTGATCATCATACAGATTTGGGTTTAGATTAAAAGATCAGAACACAGTTTTGTTTTTACAGATACATTCATAAAAGTTGAATATGTATAACACATTGACATGTAAAATCCTACCCATTGATATGTTACCGCAATGAAATTGCATCCAAATGAGAGGTTTGGCTAGCTATAAAACCAGATTTAATCCACCTTTTTCTACATAAGGAAATGTCTGTACCAAGTCAGGAATATTACAGATCTTTTTCATTCGTTTGATGTGTTTGAGCTATTGATTTTGCTATTTGAGGAGGGAATTTCTGTTTTAAATTTTTTCATAGTATTTTGTTTTATTTCTTTTTTTTATATATTTCATATTTGAAAACAGTGACCCATACCATCGGCCCGACTGGATATACATATATATAGGAAGAAACATCCTTACCCCCACACCCCCGTGGTTCGGATGGTGTCTATGTATTATCAAAAGGCTGATATACACATTTTGTCACATAAATGTAAGAAGTAAACTTATATTGTAGCACTACGACCAACAAGGAAAAGGTTGGGCGTGTTGTGTTTGGTGAAGCGAGTGGTGAATCAGCCAGTGGACAGCTAGAGGTTGCATATACGATTGTAAACAGAATAAATCATGCCGGATTTCCAAATTCATTAAATGGAGTTGTAGAGCAGACATATACATCGGGAGGTAAAACGTATCATCATTATAACACATTAGATAATTCTGGTCACGACCAAAGATGGACAGCAGCGAAAAAACCAGGTGCAAAAGAGCATTCAGCGTATAATTCAGCAATAACTCAAGCCGGGCATGCACTTTGTGCGACAAAGTCTGATCCTATGAGTTGCGGCCCGGTCAATTTTTGTGCCACAAATCCGTGTGCCTCTACGAACAGTAATAAGTATTGGTGTGTGACCGAGAAAAAAAAGATCGGATCTCATTGGTTTACTTGCATCAAGAAAAAAACAGGAAAATGCTGAACTTTGAAACTTAAAATTTTCTTATCTTGAGTTTCAAATGTGAGATAAATAAGAGAAAAAAAAATAAAAAAAAAAAAATGATCTCACACAAAGCCATGCATTTATCATTGATTATTATGAAGATTATCACATATCACTTTCTATGTAAATCAGATATCAATATATTTGTTTAATAGAAATGGTTTCTTCCGCGTTTTTGTTTTAAAATTACTAGTATTTCTATTCCCTTGCCATTTAGAGACATCTGGACTTGCTACATAACTTATACTGTTTTTCATTATCTGACTTATCTCAAGTACGTATATTACATTTTGACTGGTCAAAGTTAATTTTTTACAGGTTTTATTACTGTTCCAACCATTCTTTGGACAAACGTTAAGTTTACCTTAAAAGCAAATTTGGTTGGTGCAATGACTTTTAATGTTTGCTCAAAAACGTTATTTTTTACCATAACGGACTTTAATTCGGGATGACGTTTACTTCTTAACCATTCTCCTTGTGTGCAAACATCTCACATGCATATATTAATTTTTGACTGATCAAGTTAATTATCTTACAGGTTTTATGACTGCTTAAACCGTCCCATGGACAAAAGTCAAGTTTTGCCTTAAAAGCATATTAAGCTCGGGATTAAGTCGGGCTCGTAACCAGGCTTCCTACAAGCTAATATTAACCTGAACTGTTATAAAGCTAATGTTTTGTGTTTTCTTCTACACACAGAGGTTAATTCTTCATATTTCGTAATGACAAAGTTAAAAAAAAATGTGATTGCACTCAGGATTTTGCAGCATAGCACTATAATCGTGTCAAGTCGGTTTGTTGGAGTTCCTGAGAATATGATACTTCCATGGTTGAAATAAGCTTTGAACTAAATGTCTGTTACTAGCAAAACCTGTTGATCTGTAATTTGTGTTTTAGTCTTTTTTTATTGGTCTTCGTGTAGATCTAGCGAGAGAAGCCCTTTCCACCGGATTTCTACAGTTTCTTCTATTGAGCTATTCCAAGGCGGGGAAATTGTGCGCTAAAAAAAAACATCTTTTACTACATTCTTTATATACCTGTTCCAAATCAAAACTCCGTTACAAAATTTTGATCCTGGTACCTATGATGAGCTTATTTGCAACCACTGGGTCGCTGCCACTGCTGGTGAGTTTTTCTCCCCGAGGGTATCACCAGCCCAGTAGTAAGCACTTCTGTGTTGATATGAATCATCATTGATTTGGTCATAATTATAAATTAACTGTTTATAAATCTTTGAATTTTCGAAATACTTAGGATTTTTTTTAATAGATCGCATTAGCTGTATATCACAAAACGTTTTGGAAATTGCGGGTCCTCAATGCTCTCCAACTTCGTACATTAGTTTGACGTTTTAATCTTTTTTATTCGAAAATCACTGATTAGTCTTTTGTAGACGCACGGCTGGCATACAAACTTTAATCCAGGTATCTATTTTGAGTTTATTCAGTAGTTGTTGCTGGTAAGTGTTTGTCATATTGGTTTTTCGTTTATCATTTTTAGCATAAATCGGGCCGTTAGTTTTCTCTTTGAATAGTTTTATGTTTTGTCATTCCGATGAATTGTATAGCTTACTAAATGAGGTTTTGGTTTTGCCCATTGCTTAAGGGAGTCCGGTGATATACATTTATATATACCTGTTGAATAAAGTTAATGGTTTTTCCTGTAGTGATTTTGATTACACAGTATTTTGTTTTAGTTCTGTAAATCCGCTAAAAGATATGTAAAAGGGGAGGTTTGAGTTTTCATGAAAACCAGTTGAGCATTACAGCAGTAAATTTGTCTATCACAAGTCAGAAACCACAAATAATTGTCCTTCTGTATCTAAATGGTTTTTTTTGGTTTCTTTTTAGTCTTGTTTGTTTTGTTTTGTTTTGTTTTGTTTTGTTTTGTTTGTTTCTATTATGTATATATGAGTACTGTTAAAAACTGATAAAATGGAACATCTACTTCTTTTTCGTGTTTTGAATCGACCAGTAAAATTGTAATATTCCTTTGAAATCACTGCCAAGTCATTTCTCGGATTTCCTTTGAAATCACTGCCAAGTCATATCTCGGATTGGCTTTTACAAAACCTTTCTGCAGCAAACGTTTATTAATAAAACCTTCAAGAAGGGTAATTTTAAAATTTCTATACGATAACGTACGAGAAAAACGTCTTTAGATTTCTCGAATATCATAAAATATGAATATTACAATACCAGATCATAGCGCTGACTATTAGTCTATAGTGGTACCTACGAGGATTTGCATCCGATCATGATAAGTAGTAATTTTAACCCAGTGGTGGCTATACAAAATGAATAGAAAAAACAAATCTTATTTGATCCATCGTACTTACATTTCGGAAACTTATTTCTGGTCTGTCTGTAGTGGTTAAAACTACCGAGACCTTTTAAGAGTCATTAAAATCCCGAACATTCTTGATAGGACCATTCCCGATTAAGATTTGTAAAAAGTCTGATCAAGATCGTGTTTTTAAACAAAACAAAATACCTTAAGTTGGATTCGTTTTATTTCTGTACACAAATCAGGATAAAAAACAAAAACTACAATAAATAGATATCCTGCAAAATAAATACAATAATAAAATTTTGACCATTTATCAAGTTAATAATTTAGTGCATAGGTTTCTATCCTTATAATATGATAAACAATTGTTTTTCTAATACAAATATTAATATATCCTCCATGCATCTTATACAGTTGAGTTTATCGGACAATGTCTAGTCCATATATACTGAATGACTTATTGATTGATTGATTGATTGATTGATTGATTGATTGATTGATTGGCGTTTCATGCTCTGTTGTGCTTTTTAGTGGCGGTCAGTACTTAATGGTGAAAAAAGTCGGAGTGCCCGGAGATATCAACCAACTTTCGGCAGGAAAACAGACAATTCTAGTCAATTATGATCGGAGTTGAGGTGGCACGGTAGTATTTCCTGACCCATAGGGATAATGATAGCCTTTTTAGAATTATTTACCACTTTTAAACACTGCCCAAAATTCTACATACACAGTTAACCAAATGACTTTCATTATAATATTCAGAAATTAATTTGAACATGTATGATGACCGTTTACGTTTTTGGCCTTCTTTATAAACCTAAGGCCACTAGTTCTTTTAGGTCTTATATCATTCATTGAATACAAATTTTTTAAAAATTCTCAAAAAATCATTTTCATTTGATGTAAAATTATTTCATATTTTTCTACACCTGATTCATTCCTCAGTTTGGGAAAGTATATTCGGAAGACGAAACACAAATACTGTATTTTTGTCCAATCACAGATTTTCAGATGAATTGACTTAAGTAGGGTACATAAAAAAGCAACCTAAATTCCAGAATGTAATTACTACCGTGCCACCTTGAGCACACCTGCTGAATGACTCGTATTGTATGAACAAGTCTTATATACGGAAAATGACAATAAAATATTTATACATCCCTGGCTTTCCAATGTTAAGATTTATGCATTCCTGATAAAGGAAACCCGAGAAAAGCACTTTGGACGTACGAAATGTATAAAGTTGTATTTTTTTCACTTGCAAGCATTAATCACCAATTCTGAACACGTATGATCATTACAGGGAATTATTAACTCTTTTGCAGTTCTGAAAATAAATCAGTTGACCTGCTAAACTTAAGGTAGTTATCTGTGAAAATGATAGATGTTGATTTGCAAAATGTGTTTGTGTTGTTGAAATTCATTGTAAAATAAAGTTAACCTTCTTAAAATAAGACGCACTTGTTTTATTGTTAATTAAGAACTAGTATTGTAAAGAGGAAGAAACAAGATCACATGACATAAACTGTTAAAGGTCATATCAATATGTCTTATTAAAGTTTGAAAACTTCGAAATAACATACTAGTTGCAAATTTGATAGGTGTGGACATTGCTCACCTAGCGTTATGACAGACTATTTTAAAAGAATTGATATCATCAATGATGATTTAAAACACATATTGATGAATAGAGAATAACATATGGCTTTTTAAATACCACACCTGTATCAACCCAAGACACCAATGTAATCCCAAGAGCTCTGTTATTCCACGGTTGCGATTCAAACAAAGCAACCACAATGAATTAGGTATATTGATATCTTCTCAATAGAAGCAATTTCCAACTGCTAAAGTTTTTCTGGTGCGTTTGGACAATCGTTGTCATGTCTCCGAGTTCGTCCTATAAACGCTCGACAAGCGAAATGTCTGGTCGCAGTGTCAGCCATGGAAGAACACGAACTTGATGATGTTCAAAATGTCAGTGCATATACGAGGTACGTAACATCTGAGGTTGACTTGCAGAAAAAAAAGTCTTCTTTTTGAACAGATTTTTAGAATTGTTGCTTAGTTTTAGTGTCACGCGGGGTGTACTTTCCTTTGGTACAGGGCGATCACTAGATGAATTAACGGCATATCACAGTATTGACATAAATGGAATTCTGTTACGCAGGATGTCGGCCTAAAACGACTCATTGATAAGATATCGTCACTTGTACACATTGAAAATTCCTTGAACGTGATAATAGATAAAAGTATCAACGTTTTAAATTGAAATTCAAATTTGGTTTAGAGTATTTCCATATCAAAACAATACATGTATTTCCATTTCTAATAGAACAGAGAAAGATACCACTTATCGTTTGGTTTTTTTTTTTTGTTAGTAAATATGTCTGCTATAACTAACATTTGAGGTGTCGAAATGACTTTCGGGATATTTAACACACGATTAGAAAACTACCAATGACGCTTTGACATATGTCATAATTTTAGATTGACGACACAGTTAAAATTATACTGGGTAGACTTAAAAAAAACACCTCTTTGGTTCATAAAAGAAAATGTATAATGTTAAAGATAACATCGTGCTTTGGTATGAGTTCTCATTCACTTAAAGACAGGTGAGCAAATAGTAAATGTACAATATGTACATGTTATGATTGATCATGTGAATCTAAATGAGCTCTTTTGGCAATTGTTGTTCAAATGTAAGTTTAATGGATAATGTAGACATTTATAGAATCCATCACCTACTTGTACATATCATTTGTGGATAGGGCTTATTATATTTCAAAGGTACGTAACATCTTTTGCATGCGATACTGATTTTGATATTTTAATTTTCATCTTCATCTATGATAATAAGCTGTTAAACCTGCAAAGTAAAACACATTTTACCATTCCTAAAATTAAAACAAATAAACGTAATTTAAAAAGATAAGAAATATACATATATACAGCATTTACAGAAAACAATTTCGATATAACAAAATAAGTTAACAGCACCAACATTTGAAGTATACATGTAGGACTCAAAGGGGGGCGAGGGGGTTTCTTCAAGTCTAAGTCCAATTTTGAAGTCACGTAATTTTCCCTGAAAAAAGGAGTTAACTTTAGCGTCACAATTAAACAGTGTTAAATTACGTACACACCGCCGCGACAATGGCGGAACACATACATTAGATCTGAATACCATCCCAGATGACGGTTTTATTATATCAGAGGAAAAGAAAAGCCAGTTTTCAAAGTTATAACCCATGAATTAAATTGTATTTCATAAGTCGAGTTTACGGTATCGGAAGTCCTGGCAAATGAGAAGATGTACTCATCTGATTCGGATTACATAACACTAGCCCATAGTCATTCGTAGCAGATAAATTGCCATGGCAGGCAATTTTATGCAAATGGATATTTTTGAAGTGTTTTTTGTGTTTGTGTTTCGTGTTTGTTTTCGCTCCTTCTTTTCTCGCCTTCGACTGTGTTCTTGGTGGTGTCTTATCTCTTGATTGTATGGGTTTTTACTGTACTTTGATATGCTTTTTGCTTTTCTTTCATATCGTTTTGTTATGCTACGCCATTTTTTTTACATGATCTACAGCATTTTTTTAGCTATATTACAGCGAATCTCTATGTACTATCGTACCAAATAATCTTTTGAGATTGGGAAAAAAATTAATTCTGTCATAGATTTGTAATACCTTTCAACATCATTTTGAGCTTTATTTATTACGAATACCTGTACTGTAAGAGAGAGTTCGATTGAAGCCACTTGTTTAAGACAAGTCATTGGTCAGAAAAGTACTGACTGGTCCTTCATTTGGAGAAAATTTGCCATAGATTTGGGAACTAAAAAACCCGCTATAGATTAGGAAACTGAAAAATTTGACATAGATTTAGATTTTGAAAATCTGCCATAGATTTGGGATGGTATGTCGTCATATTTACCATAGATTTGAAATCTGCCATAGATCTGGAACCAGCCATGGATGTGAGTCCTACACATATACCCGAGTAGATACGATATTCTAGAGCTTGCGTTTCCTATCAAGATTGCCTTGCTTATGCGGAAGCTATTTAACCAATGATTCAACTTGTTAAGTTCGGGTCATTCAATCAATATTTCTACGGACACCATCAGCAGTTGGTTGAAACTTTTGGAATAGTCTTTTTATGAGTGACTTTTAGACTATTTATTTCTTATAAACAAATAATACATAAGTTTACAATATGGTTAACAAAAGACATAAAACATCTCACTTCATTAACTCTGTGTTTGTGTTTGTTTTTGTTTTTGTGTTTGTTTTTGTTTTTGTGTTTGTTTTTTTTTTTATTTCACTTTCATTGGATTACTTTTGTTTTTTTTTAGAAAAGATCAATATACAAAACATTTACAACTGTGATCAGCTTTTGCAACTATGGCACTTGTATTGAACTGGCTTGTCATGTTGATGACTGTTCATGATATTTGTGCTTCATTGTGGTAAGTACATGTAACATGTTCCGTGAAAAACAGATCTGTTTACCTTAACTCTCTCAACCGGAACTTTTATGAGGGACATCCATTTGGTGAAGTGAAAAAGAATACGCAGTCACATCCGCAAGGAAAAAAACATTTTTCGTGTTGAATAATACCTTGGTTTTTAAACATAACATTATTTTTTGAATAATCATATTAGTAATACGAGATCTTCTTAATAGACCACATTTATGCCCGTACCAACTTTTCAGGACGTGCATTGCTGATATATAGATAAACTAAGGCAACGATAGTTTACTAATGAATAGCGCAAATTCCAAAAGTAGTGAGACCTGGTTACAAAATATATGATACCAACTTTGTTCCACCAGATGCGCATTATATCTCTAATACGTTTTTCGACTATTAATATCTCTCCGGTATAGTTCGATGACAAAATATTTGAAAAAATCAAAACCTTATACAAACTTTGAAGAAATAATCAAACCTAAAATAACATTAAGTTTACCCAAATTATGACGAGGAACAGAGTTTTACAAGCGTCTCACATTATGCATGCAACACAGGTCATGCGAATCTATTTGTTCCCGCCTTTATCACCCTGTATAATCCCGATACAAATGAATCTGCACGTTGATTCATACAGAGGAGAATGTGCACTTTTGAGGAATGTCCAACATTTATTCTTCTGAGATTTGTCAAGAGGTTTTGATATGTTTTAAGTCACATATACGGGATGTCATAGATCTATTGTGGATATTTTGGTTAACGACTTTATTACAAAATATAGGTACAGTAAATTGAATTTAGGATTAACGACACGGATTTTAGTTTAAATATATTTATTTATAGTGGATTGGGAAACAAGTTATTACAACTTATATTAATCCCTTTCCACTTTGCTGGTGCGAGTGCTGCCTTGTAGCGGCATTAGCCTGCTCTATTTCGAATCTTCAAGGGTGTCTTTTACGTGCAAGAGATATTGCTCTCTCTTAACACGGGTCAGCCATTTATCGTCCCCTTCCGACGGACTATCATCGTTTCTCGAGACCATACTCGCAAATGGTGTCAAGGGAGAGCCTAAAATTCAGTCCCTGACATTTTCTCCCCGGAACGGGTTTGAACCAGGAAGCTTTGTGTTTGTAGTCCGATGCGCTAACCACTACACCATGGCTCTCCTGATTGCTTTTTATTGAATACTCGGAGGCCTCACTATTAATTTGAGATGAAGAACATCAATAAATGCGCTGTTCCTTTGCTTTTTGTAAGTTGTTTTTTGCTTTGCATGTTCTAATTTTGTGTCATTGATGGATACCCCATTTCCTTTCTTTTTCTATTAGTTATCTATGTGTGTCATGTAAAATACCTGGACATGTTTGACAATAAAATATGTTTGCTGGTTAAAAGTGTTGTTGGGTTGCTGTCTCGTTTCTTGCATGTAACTTGCATGATCAATCTTTTTTGTGTTTGAACAAAATTAATAGGAAAAAAATATATAAAATTTAGATATAAAATGCTGAACAATAGATGGGAAAAGTACATACACTGTGAAAAACCATATAAAATATTCCATGTATTATTTTTGTATTTGTGTTTTCATAATACATTCAATTTTCATTTTTGCAATTAAATTTGAACTTTAAAATTACCAATGAAAATGTTGTTGATCAGTTGCTGTACATAATAATTCATGTCAGGATTTTCGGACCAATAATTATTACGTTAAAATGCCAGATTTTGATTTGCTAAAACGAGGTAGATAATTTACTCTATCCCAAGGCGCGGTGGGAGGCCATTTTATAATGTCAGCCTCCCGTGCAGACCAATCAAAATCGATGATTTAAAGAAAAATAGATTGAATTTGCATAAATAATCTTAAAGACAATTCTCAAGTTATACGTTTTCGCCTCATAGAATGTAAAAATAAAAGATACATTTTACTTATATTTTGATTTGTTGTCTTCGAAAAGACATTGTTAACCTTGGCTTCGCCTCAGTTGACAATTTTTCCTCGGGATAACAATCTGCTCTATCACCATCTCAGGTATGCCATATTTATATATTATTACCCCTCGAATAAACAATGTTCACCTTGGCTTGTCTTCGATTGACAAAGTTTTCTCGGTGTAACAATCTGCTATATCACCCTCTGAGCTATGTTATTTACATCATTACTTTTGGTAAAAATTCAGAGGTTTTCTGAACACAATGCAACAATGTTGTTGCTATGGTATCTTTTGTAGACGAAAAGCGCATCTGGCGTATAAAATTTTAATCCTGCCTTCTATGATGAGTTTATCTTGGTATTATCAGAAAGATGCAGTACATATTTTTGTCACTAAATGCAGGAAATAACATTATATTTTAGCTATACTGCTTACAAGGAAAAGGTTGGACGGGTTGTGTTTGGTGAAGCGAGTGGAGAATCAGCCAACGTACAGTTAGAGGTTGCATTTACTATTGTGAACAGAATTAACCATGTCGGATTCCCAAATTCATTAGATGGAGTTGTAGACCAGACATATAAATCGGGAGAGAAAATGTATCATCATTATAACACATTAGATTATTTTAGTCACGACCTAAGATGGAAAGCCTCAAAAGCACCTGACGCAAAAGAGCATGCTGCGTATATTTCTGCTATAACTCAAGCCGAGCATGCGCTTTGTGCGACAAAGTCTGATCCTATGAGTTGCGGTCCGGTCAATTTCTGTGCCACAAATCCGTGTGCCTCTACTAACAGTAATAAGTATTGGTGTGTGACCGAGAAAAAACAGATCGGATCTTATTGGTTTACTTGCATCAAGAAAAAAACAGGAAGATGCTGAACTTTGAAATCAAAAATTGTCTTATCTTGAGTTTTTAATTTGAGATAAATAAAAAATAATCAAAATTGTGTATAATAATGATACTATATATTAGAAAATCACAAAACCATGGATCTGTTATCGATCATTCTAACGTTTATCACACAACACACTCTGTAATTAACTAGGATATCGATAGTTGTTTAATAGTTTTTTTTTCGTCTGTTTTTTGTCTGAAAAAAATAGCTTGAAGTATTACCTCGTTTTGCTTTTTTCTTCTTTCAGAGACGTCCGGACTTACTACATAAAATGAGCCTCTAATTTATCTTACATATATAAAATACATTTTGACTATAACAAATTAATTTCTGACTGGTTTTATGACTGCTACAACTGTTCCTAGGACAAGTTTTGCCTAAAACAAGATTTGGTTGGTCCCATGCATGTTTTAATTTCCAAAAGAAGTAACATTTGAACAGGCCATAACTGAAGTTAAAACGGGGTTAAGTTTTGTTTCTAAAACAGTCTCTGCAAATTAACATCGACTAGAACAGTTATAAAGCTAACTTTTAGTCTATTCTTTCACTATTGAAAAGAAGACCCAACCAGAACTATTTTAATTCATCTATGCAGTAAGATATATTTTAAATGTCCTTGCTTTTTGATTTTTACATACCCTCATACAAATTGTACAGGAAACATACATACTCCGATTTGGATTTTTTTTTTTAAATTACAAAAAAGATGATGGATTCAATCTCATATTTAAGGAGTTTTCTAAAAAAATATATCCATGTGTCTTTTCTGGACATGTACTCGGGTTATGTAAGTTTAACTTTCTTTCTTGCTCCAAAGATGTTAAGTTAACTTTGAAAGCGAACAAAACGTTTTCTCAAATTTAACTTTTATATAGGTTATGACTGCACTCATTTTTACATTTCCAGCAATTATATCAACCGTCCAAATTATAAAATCATAAACGTCAAGCAAGGTATCCGCATCGCTTGTGTTATAAATAACGTACAAGCTAGGAGCAAGGTATGGTGTTTTAGATTATCTTTCGGTATCTAAATCTATCTAATGGGTTTTATGCGCAGTTTAAAGAACAAAACATAAAAACTAAAGAGTAGCAACACGAACCCTACCAAAAACCGGGGGTGACCTCATGAGCTTCAGAAAGGTGGGCGGATCCTGCTCCACATGTGGCACCCGTCGTTTGCTCATGTGCAAACAAATCAGGTAATAAGTCTGATTCGGTAGGTCACATTTAGGAAAACAGAATGGGTTTGGGCTTACAACAACTGAACAACTGCGAAACTGATTTTCCATATAGTTCAACCAACTCGTGATGGCGTCCGTAAAATTTTCGAAAGGGTTATTCACAACTTTACCACTTGGAACTACAAAAATGTATTGGTTTAATAACTCCTTGTGAGCAGCAAACCTCTATAAAGGAAATTATGAAAGCAATTTGTTCAAGCCCTGGAATATCGTATTAATTGGTAGATATATACTCCATATGCAGGCGCTGCTGGAATGTTGCGATATAAAAATGGAAAGTTCACAATTGGGAAGCTGAAATCATCTCTTTTGTCGTAAAATTTTGTTCGCAACCGGCATACTTAAATGCATCTGTTATATCCTTATTTCAATGTCGATGCGTTCAACATAGCCACTAAACTTTGAATTATTTAGTGAGAGGACATCATCTATATATCGGAAAGTGAAGTTAAATTATAATGCTAGCTTCTTTTTAGTCAGCCTCCATGAATAAAAGAACAAGTCGGGAAGAAGAGGAGAGTCCTACTTACCTAGATCTTAATATGTCTCACTGAAATGTGTGAGCACATAAAATGCGCATATACCGGAAAATCAAACGGAGGGTGCCTTTGGATATCTATCTGACGTACCTTGAGTACATATTAAATATTTGTCACAAAAAAGGGCTTACAATAAGAGATGTCTTGTTACCAGAGTTAACGCGGTCGGTTCTAAATAACTTACTGTCCTGAATCAATATTATTTAATAAATCAATTGATTTTAATATACTTTTATCAAAGTTGGTGCAAACGTGTATATACCAATATTGATTCGGTAATAATATCAATAAGAAGGAACATGTTAAAAAACAGGATGTCACATTTTTTAAAAAACAATTAAATAAAGACTGTTTACGATCACAGTTGCCGTCATACCTTTTTTGTCAGCCTTTCTACTCCCGCACATTATAACTGTCTAGTATATAGTTCAAACGATCGATTGTGACAGTGTGTATGGTAATGAATGATTACAATTAGACAGATAGTTTTCTTGAATCGTGTGTGACCTCCTGGTGCAAAATGTCATCTATGTTTAGCTTTACATTTGTATCATGGGTTGGCTATAGCTATCCAAAGAATGATAATTAGATATATATTTGTAAAAATGTGAGCACTTGTCGAAGTGTGTAATCTTAAATTCGCACTGCATATCTTTCATATTTAAATCGCATTGTATAATATTTAAAGCTCATGATGTAATCTTAAAATATTTGTTTTATTAATTAGGACACAGATGGGCTAATCGACTCCTGCTATCTATGCATCATGTGTCATGCAATTTACACTTTGGTAAAAGAACACTATTAGTTAATTTAAATATCAGACGACTATCAAAGTATCAAAAAATCTAAGACCGCAAAGCATATTCTTGTGAGTTATTACACACGTTTATCTCTGTTTGTTTTGCTCACACATTGTTGTCAATATAATGGAATTATGTACGACTGTCATACAAGTGAGATGCTTAGCTAACTTTAAAACCAGGTTTTATCCACCATTTTCTTCATAAGGAAATGCATGTACCAAGTCAGGATTATGACAGTTGTTTTCCATTAGTTAGATGTGTTTGAGCTTTTGATTTTGTCATTTTATAAACATGATAAAGGTCATTCCGTTTTGAATTTCCCTTGGCGTTCGGTATTTTTGTTATTTTACTTTTTATCGTATCGATCAATCAATTCGTCTTGGTGACCTAAAAACTTTTATAGTATTGATTTTTTTTTCTTTTTTTTCTCACACCCTGAAGGACCAGTGTTTCTTTTGGTGGAGTAAACCCCTGGTAAACAGTTCTGTATTTTACATGCAAGCGCTAAACGTCACAGTTTTAATGTAAACGAGTAAGATGCGCCAAATGTCAAATTGAAAAATTGGGGAAGAGGGACGGAAGATTTTAAGGGAATATTCAGACAAACGTACAACGTCAGAGCAATAAAAAAAAACACAAGATGACAAACAGTTTACAAAACACAATTTAGAAAATTTAAATACTGAGCAACACCAATTCTTCCAAAAATCGGGGTTGATCTCAGATGCTTCGGAAGGGTAACAAAGTTTTGCTCCACATGTGACTCCCAAAGTGTTGCTCGTGCAAGGATGTGTTACATTCAAGAAGAAATGAGTGGAACTGGAATTGTGGTTAAGACAATAGCAACATATTCATCGTCATTTGTGAACGGATATTCAATAACGGCAGACCCACTAGTGTTGGCTTCACGTTCGTCATTAGTCCTAGCGTTCAGTCGTCCATCTTTCGCATTACTTAAAAAATGTAGATTTGAAATAGTTCTTTTATTTCCACATCACTTGGATAAATGAGACATTAGAACTATAAAGGGGGTAATTGTGAGATAAAACTGAACAGTTAAAAGTTCTCAAAAGTTAAATTATTTAGCTACGTTAAAAAATCTAATGTAAAAGCAATTTCATAGAGTTTGTTTATTACTAACAGACTTACAAAACATGTTTAACCCCGCTGCATTTTTCTCGCTGCGTTGAAGACCCATTGGTGGCATTCGGCTGTTATCTGTTCTTTGGCCGGGCTGTTGTCTCTTTGACATATTCCCTATTTCCATTCTCAATTTAACTTTTTACACATTGTGACTTATATGGAGAGTTGTCTAATTGGCACTCATACCACATCTACTTATTTCTATTGTAAGGTATTATAACGAATATATTTGAAATCCTGATCCAATGGTGATTAAATTTATTTGAATTTGCAAGTTCAAATTGAAATAGAAGATTCTTCGTGATTGTTACCTCCTATTAGGAATGAAATACCACAATGACTTAGACAAGCTAACAATGAACCTGAAGTTTTTATTGTCACTATAACGAACAGTTTTATAAAGCACAACTGTCAATGCTCATGTTGACGGGCAGATAACCAAGCTTTAAACCACAACATACAATAAATAAACTGTAATTACACAGATGTGTCTCGCGTATATATACAATAAACTGTAATTACAAAGATGTGTCTCGCGTTTGTAATTTTGATGGTATAATGCAAATTTTAAAATTTAAATGGCAATATTTAAACATGATTACTATGCAAATTGTCCAAGAACCATGACTGAAAGTGCAGGGCCGAACAACTTCCATGGAAATATCAATTGATAATGATATTGAAACTGCATACCTAATACCATGGAGTCAATAAACCAACACTAAAGGGGGAGCCAAATAATCTGCATGGAAATGAGATGTGGAGATGCTAATACATCTGGATACCAAATATCATCGACGTTTTACTAATAGTTGCCCCATAAACTAACCTTATCACAAACTACTACATACAAATTGGCAAATTTTCAAAGTCAATAGGCCATTACCTTGGAGTAGGGCAAAACAATCGCCATTGAAATGAAATATGCAAACGCATATTCGACTGAATACTGAATATCAGTGACATACCACTAATGGCTCCCCTTAAACTGACTTGATCACAAGCTAATACATGTAAACTAAGAAAATTTTCGATGTCAAAAGATTATGACTAAAGCGGATAGGGCCAAATTATATCCATGTAAATGAGATATACCAATGGTAATACAACTGCATACCGAATAGCATTGACTTACCACTAGCGGTTCCTAAGAAACCTGATCTTTTCACAAACTTATACATTGTTGGTGTATATAGGATCATATTTGTGAAAATACATTCGAGGTCATCGTTTATTGAAGCTGAAATTGGCAGTGAAAAAGAATGTATTAGGTCATATTTCACATTGAAAACGGTGTTGTTGTTAATTTCAAATCAAATTAACAAAATATTCCATGTAAGATTCCACTCATATTTCTCTGTAAATAAGTTGAAATTTAGTGCAGGTCATCAACCAAATATAATATGCAGGGCTCGATGAGTTGAAAAATATATTTCACCTAATTTAATAAGGAAATTGGCGATATTTTGTTTAATTTGGAAAAAAGTCTTCTTAAACCACATCTAAATCTACACGGCTAGCACTACTAGTGATACTTCTCAAACTAAAAAGACTTACCACTAATTGATAACAAATTTCCCAAAATTATGATTATTGACAACTGGAAGTTCAACTCTCGTAGTCACGATTGATTAGCTTGTCTAAAAATTTTACAGAAATGAAACATTTCATCGGTTTTCGACATAAAGCAAATATTCCGACATCTTTTAATCGATGAACATTCAGTATTAAGATTTATACTTTTACGACAGTGAAACTTTTTATCTGTATAGTACTCCATGTCCTACCTTCTTCGCACCTAGATCGAAATTTCATATCACTGAGCAACTTTAATATGACTATGTTCAGTTTTGTGGCAATGATATTTGATACCATCAAGGGATAACAGGAATCACAAAAAAATAATGACAGTGCATCAGATGATATGACAAACTCATAACTCTACCACAAACAGACTTACAAACAAAGATAAACAACAACGACGCACCACATGATCCCGATTTCTTACTTTGAAAAATCGCAAAATATAAACATACTAGTATCTCAATTGTTTGTAAAACAATTGAAAGGTCTTTCCCGTAAAAGTGATGTTTTCGTAATGTACTTTTTACGACCTTTCATTTGATATACGACAAGCATACCTTCTGAAACTTTTCGCTTTTTACACTTAATGACCCCATCCACCTAATTTTCTAGATCGGAAGTATGATATATGTAAAGTAGACTTGATGATATTTCATTTGATATGCGACAACGCCATCTTCTAGAAAGTTTGATTTTTGCACTTAATAACCCCATCCAACTAGTTTTTGGAGAACAGGAATTTGATATATGAAATGTACACGTTATGACCTTTCATTTGATATACAACAACCTTATCTTAAAAGAAAATTTATGTTTTTAGAACTCAATGACCCCACCCAACCCATTTTTTGGGGACGTCATCTTGTTATTTGAATTGAACGCTTTATGGACTTTCATTTGATATGCGACAACCTAACCATCTGAGAAGTTTGAATTGTTTGCACTAAATGACCCCACCCTTCCCCCTGGGAGGTAAAAGGGGTTTAACATTTTCATTTTTGAGTAGAGCTCGTTAAGACCTTCAATTTGATATATCAAATGACCCCATTTGGCAAAGTGCCAAAAATGGTGCAATATCAATTGTATAAATAGAAATTATGAGACTTACAAAGTAAATGCAAAACATGAAAATTTCAAATTGATTTTTTGGAGTTTTTTTCATTGAAAGTTTTTGGTATTTGATCAAACATATAACCATGTTGAACTCTTTAATTTCTGAAAATTTCAGGTGGTAAACTGTTGTTCATTTAGAAATACATGCCTCCGCTCGCAAAATTTCAAACTGCATTATCTCTTAAACGACAACAGATATCTCAAATCTGTTAAAAGAAAAATGATCTGCAGTAAAAGGACAACATTTGAGACATTTTTTTGGACAATTCTGAAGTTCATCAAGGTCACAATGAATTATCAAATATATGATGCAATATCAAACTTGAGAACCGGAAGTCGTAGAGACATAGGACTACCACCATTCAACTCAGGACCACTTGACCTTTCAATTGTTACAAGGTCAAGGTCATAGTACACTCTGAAGGTCAAGGTTAAATTTCATCATGGCCTGACATTGACCTCAAATTGAAGGTCTTGAATTACTGATCATCTTTCCAGTTTATAGAAGGTTGATATCTGTTACCTTTAAAAAGATATACATATGTTACTATAGTTTTAAGAATTATGTTAGTGTAACTTTTGAACAGAAGGTCGGACATTTTTGAGCTGAATATATAAAATGTAGCGCTCGTCGAGAGGAACATTTTATACACAGTATGTATGCAGCAAACTCTTATCGTTTTCTTAATATGCAAGCTTGAAATTGCAGCGTAATTTTTTTTTGCACTCGGTGACCCTTGACCTTGAGTGCAAATTGAAGGTCACATAAACTTAAGATTATTGGTGTAGGTCTCAAGTCTCTACTACTTCCGGTTCTCGAAATACAATTTTTCAAAAATTGTGTATATTTTTTCAAGAGAAATAACTCCATATAAGGGTCAATAACAAAATTATTTTATATGTTCATTAACATTGCCATCTGTTCCTGTACATGTTGCTGTTTTCAAATTGATTCTATCCCTAATACTTTTTGAGAAAAATGCAAAAGAAAGAAATTGTTTCAAGGGGATATAACTCGCATAGGGGATGATGAAATCCTATGCAGCCTCATATGGTAGTACATCATGATGAGATCTACCTATTGTCCAAATAAGGTCATGATATCTTTAAAAACAACGAGGGGGGGACCATGTCGAAAAAATCCAATAAAAGGGAGATAACTTCTACAGGGGATGATGAAATCCTTAACAGGGTCATGTGGTAATACTTCAAGATGAGGTCTATCGATGGTCCATATTTGGTCTTGATAACTTCAACAGAAACGGGGGGAGGGCATTCCCAAAAAAATGTTGGAAGAAAAAAAAGAAAAAAAAAAAAAAAAAACTAGTATCTCAATTGTTTGTAAAACAATTGAAAGGTCTTTCCTGTAAAAGTGATGTTTTTGTAATGTACTCTTTAAGACCTTTCATTTGATATACGACAAGCATACCTTCTGAAAATTTTCATTTTTTACACTTAATGACCCCATCCGCCTACATTTTTGATATCGGAAGTATGAGATATGTAATGTAGACTTGATGATCTTTCATATGATATGCGACAACGCCATGTTCTAGAAAGTTTGATTTTTGCACTTAATAACCCCATCCACCTCATTTTTGGAGGACAGGAATTTGATATTTGAAATGTACACATTATGACCTTTCATTTGATATACAACAACCTTACCTTAGAAGACAATTTATTTTCTGCACTCAATGACCCCACCTAACCCATTTTTTGGGGACGTCAATTTGATATTTGAAATGTACGCTTTATGGACTTTCATTTGATATGCGACAACCTAACCATCTGAGAAGTTTGAATTTTTTGCACTAAATGACCCCACCCTTCCCCCTGGGATGAAAAGGGGGTTTAACATTTTCATTTTTGAGTAGAGCTCGTTAAGACCTTCAATTTGATATATCAAATGACCCCATTTGGCAAAGTGCCAAAAATGATGCAATATCAATTATATAAATAGAACTTATGAAACTTACAAAGTCAATGTAAAAGATGAAAATTTCAAATTGATTTTTTTTTTGAGTTTTTCATTGAAAGTTTCTGGTAATTAGTCAAACATATAACCATGTTTAAATCTTCAATTTCTGAAAATTTCAGGTGGAAAGCTGTAGTTGATTCAGAAATACATGCCTCCGCTCGCAAAATTTCAAACTGCATTATCTCTAAAACGACAACAGATATCTCAAATCTGTTAAATGATAAATGATCTGCAGTTGAAGTATAACATTGTAGAAAAAATTTGGGACAATTCCAATGTTCATCAAGGTCACAATGAATCATCAAATATATGATGCAATACCAAACTTGAGAACCGGAAGTCGTAGAGACATGGGACTACCACCATTCAACTCAGAACCACTTGACCTTTCAAATGTCACAAGGTCAAGGTCATAGTACACATAAAAGGTCAAGGTAAAATTTCATCATGACCTGGCATTGACCTCAAATTGAAGGTCTTGAATTACTGATCATATTTGCAGTTTATAGTAGGTTGTTATATGTTACCATTTAAAATATATTCACACAATACTATACTTTTAAGAATTATCTTGATGTAACTTTTGAACAGACGGTCGGACATGTTTGAGCTTAATGTATAAAATGTAGAGCTTGTCGAGAGGAACATTTTATACACAGTATGTATGCAGCAAACTCCTATCGTTTTCTTAATATGCAAGCTTGAAATTGCAGCGTAATTTTTTTTCGCACTCGGTGACCTTTGACCTTGGGTGCAAATTAAAGGTCACATGAATTTAAGATTATTGGTGAAGATCCCAACTTTCTACGACTTCCAGTTCTCGAAATAGAATTTTTTTTAAATTGTGTATAATTTTTAAAGGGGAATAACTCCTTATAAAGGTTAATATCAAAATAATTGTTTATGTTTATTAACATTGCCATCTGTTCTTGTACATGCTGCCATTTTCAAATCGATTCTATCTCTAACACTTTTGAAAAAAAATGCAAATAAAAGAAATTGCTTCAAAGGGATATAACTCTCAAAAGGGATGATGAAATTCTACGCAGCCTCATATGGTAATACATCATAATGAGATCTACCTATTGCCCACATAAAGACATGTTATCTTAAAAAACAACGAGGGGGGGCCATGTCGAAAAAAACCAATAAAAGGAAGATAACTTCTAAAGGGGTTGATGAAATCCTTAACAGGGTCATCTGGTTATACTTCATGATGAGGTCTATCGATGGTCCATATTTGGTCTTGATAACTTCAACAGAAACGGGGGTAGGGCATGTTAAAAAAATGTTGGAAGAAAAAAAAGAAAAAAAAAAAAAAGAACTAGTATCTCAATTGTTTGAAAAACAATTGAAAGGTCTTTCCTGCAAAGTGATGTTTTTGTAATGTACTCTTTAAGACCTTTCATTTGATATACGACAAGCATACCTTCTAAAAATTTTCACTTTTTACACTTAATGACCCCATCCGCCTACATTTTTGATATCGGAAGTATGATATATGTAATCTAGACTTGATTATCTTTCATTTGATATGCGACAACGCCATGTTCTAGAAAGTTTGATTTCTGCACTTAATAACCCCATCCAACTTATTTTTTGAGGACAGGAATCTGATATTTGAAATGTACACGTTACGACCTTTCATTTAAAATACAACAACCTTACCTTAAAAGAAAATTATATTTTTTGCACTCAATGACCCCACCCAACCCATTTTTTGGGGACGTCAATTTGATATTTGAAATGTACGCTTTATGGACTTTCATTTGATATGCGACAACCTAACCATCTGAGAAGTTTTAATTTTTTGCATTAAATGACCCCACCCTTCCCCCTTGGATGAAAAGGGGGTTTTACATTTTCATTTTTGAGTAGAGCTCGTTAAGACCTTCAATTTGATATATCAAATGACCCCATTTGGAAAAGTGCCAAAAATGATGCAATATTAATTATATAAATAGAACTTATGAAACTTACAAAGTCAATGCAAAACATGAAAATTTCAAATTGATTTTTTGGTTTTTTTTTTCATTGAATGTTTTTGGTATTTGGTCAAACATATAACCATGTTAAACTCTTCAATTTCTTATAATTTCAGGTGGTTACCTGTTGTTGATTTAGAAATACATGCCTCCGCTCGCAAAATTTCAAAGTGCATTATCTCTTAAACGACAACAGGTATCTCAAATTTGTTAAAAGAAAAATGATCTACAGTAAAAGGACAACATTTTAGTAAAAAAAATTGGAAAATTCCAAAGTTCATCAAGGTCACAATGAATTATCAAATATATGATGCAATATCAAACTTGAGAACCGGAAGTCGTAGAGACATGGGACTACCACCATTCAACTCAGGACCACTTGACATTTCAAATGTCACAAGGTCATGGTCATAGTACACTCTGAAGGTCAAGGTTAAATTTCATCATGACCTGACATTGACCTCAAATTGAAGGCCTTGAATTACTGATCATCTTTGCAGTTTATAGTAGGTTGATATCTGTTACCTTTTAAAAGATATACATATGTTACTATAGTTTTAAGAATTATGTTAATGTAACTTTTGAACAGACGGTCGGACATTTTTGAGCTTAATGTATAAAATGTAGACCTCGTCGAGAGGAACATTTTATACACAGTATGTATGCAGCAAACTCTTATCGTTTTCTTAATATGCAAGCTTCAAATTGCAGCGTAAATTTTTTTTGCACTCTGTGACCTATGACCTTGGGTGCCAATTGAAGGTCACATGAATTAAAGATTATTGGTGTAGGTCCCAAGTCTCTACGACTTCCAGTTCTCGAAATACAATTTTTCAAAAATTGTGTATATTTTTTTAAGAGAAATAACTCCTTATAAGGGTCAATAACAAAATCATTTTATATGTTCATTAACATTGCCATCTGTTTCTGTATATGTTGCCGTTTTCAAATCGATTCTATCCCTAATACTTTTTGAGAAAAATGCAAAGGAAAGAAATCGCTTCAAGGGGATATAACTCGCATAGGGGATGATGAAATCCTATGCAGCCTCATATGGTAGTACATCATGATGAGATCAACCTATAGTCAAAATAAGGTCATGATATCTTTAAAAACAACGAAGGGGGGCCATGTTGAAAAAATCCAATAAAAGGGGGATAACTTCTACAGGGGATGATGAAATCCTTAACAGGGTCATGTGGTAATACTTCAAGATGATGTCTATCGATGGTCCATATTTGGTCTTGATATCTTTAACAAAAACGGGGGGAGGGCATTCCCAAAAAAATGTTGGAAGAAAAAAAAGAAAAAAAAAAAAAAAAAAAAAAAGAAAAAGAAAAAAAAAAAAAAAAAGAAAAAAAAAAAACATTAGAAAAACAATAAGGTCTTTCCTAACGGAGTGGAAAGACCTTAAAAAAAGAACTAGTATCTCAATTGTTTGTAAAACAATTGAAAGGTCTTTCCTGTTAAAGTGATGTTTTCGTAATGTACTTTGTACGACCTTTCATTTGATATACGACAAGTATACCTTCTGAAACTTTTCGCATTTTACACTTAATGACCCCATCCGCCTTAATTTTCGAGATCGGAAGTATGATATATGTAATGTAGACTTGATGATCTTTCATTTGATATGCGACAACGCCATGTTCTAGAAACTTTGATTTTAGCACTTAATCCAACTCATTTTTTGAGGACAGGAATCTGATATTTGAAATGTACACGTTACGACCTTCCATTTGATATACAACAACCTTACCTTAAAAGAAAATTATATTTTTTGCACTCAATGACCCCACCCAACTCATTTTTTGGGAACGTCAATTTGATATTTGAAATGTACGCTTCATGGACTTTCATTTGATATGCGACAACCTAACCATCTGAGAAGTTTGAATTTTTTGCACTAAATGACCCGACCCTTCCCACTGGAATGAAAAAAGGGTTTAGAATTTTCATTTTTGAGTAGAGCTTATTAAGATTTAATTTGATATATCAAATGACCCCATTTGGCAAAGTGCCAAAAATGATGCAATATCAATTGTATAAATAGAACTTATGAAACTCACAAAGTCAATGCAAAACATGAAAATTTCAAATTGATTTTTTGGAGTTTTTTTTCGTTGAATGTTTTTGGTATTTAGTCAAACATATAACCATGTTAAACCCTTCACTTTCTGAAAATTTCAGGTAGTTACCTGTTGTTAAATCAGGAATACATGCCTCCGCTCGCAAAATTTCAAACTGCATTATCTCTAAAACGACAATAGATATCTCAAATCTGTTGAATGATAAATGATCTGCAGTTGAAGGACAACATTGTGTAAAAATTTAGGAAAATTCCAAAGTTCATCAAGGTCACAAGGAATCATCAAATATATGATGCAATACCAAACTTGAGAACCGGAAGTCGTAGGGACATGGGACTACTACCATTCAACTCAGAATCACTTGACCTTTCAAATTTCATAAGGTCAAGGTCATAGTACACTTTGAAGGTCAAGGTAAAATTTCATCATGACCTGACCTTGACCTCAAATTGAAGGTCTTGGATTACTGATCATATTTGCAGTTAATAGTAGGTTGCTATATGTTGCCATTTAAAAGATATTCACACAATACTATACTTTTAAGAATTATCTTGATGTAACTTTTGAACAGACGGTCGGACATGTTTGAGCTTAATGTATAAAATGTAGAGGTTGTCGAGAGGAACATTTTATACACAGTATGTATGCAGCAAACTCTTATCGTTTTCTTAATATGCAAGCTTGAAATTGCAGCGTAAATTTTTTTTGCACTCGGTGACCTTTGACCTTGGAAGCAAATTAAAGGTCACATGAATTAAAGATTAGTGGTGAAGGTCCCAAGTCTCTACGACTTCCGGTTCTTGAAATAGAATTTGTTTTAAATTGTGTAAAATTTTTAAAGAGAAATAACTCCTTATAAGGGTTGATATCAAAATAATTGTTTATGTTTATTAACATTGCCATCTGTTCTTGTACATGCTGCAATTTTCAATTCAATTCTATCCCTTATACTTTTTAAGAAAAATGCAAATAAAAGAAATTGCTTCAAGGGGATATAACTCGCAAAGGGGATGATGAAATTCTACGCAGCCTCATATGGTAATACATCATGATGAGATCTAGCTATTGTACAAATAAGGACATGATATCTTTAAAAACAACGAGGGGCGGCCATGTTGAAAAAAACCAATAAAAGGGAGATAACTTCTAAAGTGGATGATGAAATCCGTAACAGGGTCATCTGGTAATACCCTATGATGAGGTCTATCGATGGTCCATATTTGGTCTTGATAACCCTAATAGAAACGAGGGGAGGGCAGGTCAAATAAATGTTGGAAGAAAAAAAAGAAAAAAAAAAAAAAACATTAGAAAAACTAGTATCTCAATTGTTTGTAAAACAATTGAAAGGTCTTTCCTGTTAAAGTGATGTTTTCGTAATGTACTTTGTACGACCTTTCATTTGATATACGACAAGCATACCTTCTGAAACTTTTCGCATTTTACACTTAATGACCCCATCCGCCTTAATTTTCGAGATCGGAAGTATGATATATGTAATGTAGACTTGATGATCTTTCATTTGATATGCGACAACGCCATGTTCTAGAAAGTTTGATTTTAGCACTTAATAACCCCATCCAACTCATTTTTTGAGGACAGGAATCTGATATTTGAAATGTACACGTTACGACCTTTCATTTGATATACAACAACCTTACCTTAAAAGAAAATTTTATTTTTTGCACTCAATGACCCCACCCAACTCATTTTTAGGGGACGTCAATTTAATATTTGAAATGTACGCTTCATGGACTTTCATTTGATATGCGACAACCTAACCATCTGAGAAGTTTGAATTTTTTGCACTAAATGACCCCACCCTTCCCCCTAGGATAAAAAAGGGGTTTAACATTTTCATTTTTGAGTAGAGCTCGTTAAGACCTTCAATTTGATATATCAAATGACCTCATTTGGCAAAGTGCCAAAAATGATGCAATATCAATTGTATAAATAGAAATTATGAAACTTACAAAGTAAATGCAAAACATAAAAAATATAAATTTAATTTTATGGGGTTTTTTTTCATTGAATGTTTTTGGTATTTAATCAAACATATAACCATGATGAACTCTTTAATTTCTGAAAATTTCAGGTGGTAAACTGTTGTTAAATCAGAAATACATGCCTCCGCTCGCAAAATTTCAAACTGCATTATCTCTTAAATGACAACAGATATCTCAAATCTGTTAAAAGAAAAATGCTCTGCAGTAAAAGGACAACATTTTAAAAAAAAATTTGGACAATTCCAAAGTTCATCAAGGTCACAATGAATTATCAAATATATGATGCAATATCAAACTTGAGAACCGGAAGTCGTAGAGACATGGGACTACCACCATTCAACTCAGGACCACTTGACCTTTCAAATGTCACAATGTCAAGGTCATGGTACACTCTGAAGGTCAAGATTAAATTTCATCATGACCTGAAATTGACCTCAAATTGAAGGTCTTGAACTACTGATCATCTTTCCAGTTTATAGAAGGTTGATATCTGTTACCTTTAAAAAGATATACATATGTTACTATAGTTTTTAGAATTATGTTAATGTAACTTTTGAACAGACGGTCGGACATTTTTGAGCTTAATGTATAAAATGTAGAGCTCGTCGAGAGGAACATTTTATACACAGTATGTATGCAGCAAACTCTTATCGTTTTCTTAATATGCAAGCTTGAATTTGCAGCGTAATTTTTTTTTGCACTCGGTGACCTTTGACCTTGGATGCAAATTGAAGGTCACATGAACTTAAGATTATTGGTGTAGGTCCCAAGTCTCTACGACTTCCGGTTCTCGAAATACAATTTTTCAAAAATTGTGTATATTTTTTCAAGAGAAATAACTCCTTATAAGGGTCAATAACAAAATTATTTTATATGTTCATTTATATTGCCATCTGTTCCTGTACATGTTGCTGTTTTCAAATCGATTCTATCCCTAATACTTTTTGAGAAAAATGCAAGGGAAAGAAATTGCTTCAAGGGGATATAACTCGCATAGGGGATAATGAAATCCTATGCAGCCTCATATGGTAGTACATCATGATGAGATCTACCTATTGTCTAAATAAGGTCATGATATCTTTAAAAACAACGAGGGGGGGCCATGTCGAAAAAATCCAATCAAAGGGAGATAACTTCTACAGGGGATGATGAAATCCTTAACAGGGTCATGTGGTCATACTTCAAGATGAGGTCTATCGATGGTCAATATTTGGTCTTGATAACTTCAACAGAAACGGCGGGAGGGCATTCCCAAAAAAATGTTGGAAGAAAAAAAAGAAAAAAAAAAAAAAAAAAAAAAAGAAAAAGAAAAAAAAAAAAAAAAAGAAAAAAAAAAAACATTAGAAAAACAATAAGGTCTTTCCTAACGGAGTGGAAAGACCTTAAAACAATAAGGTCTTTCCTAACGGAGTGGAAAGACCTTAAAAAGAAAAAAAAAAGAAAAAGAAAAAGAGAAAAAAAAAAAAAAAGAAAAAAAAAAAACATTAGAAAAACAATAAGGTCTTTCCTAACGGAGTGGAAAGACCTTAAATATAGATGTCAAAACAGTTTTACGTACATAAACAAAGCCTCCTTTTACCTATCGAAATTATATGTCGTAAACCAAAAACATGCAATTAAATACATGCTCAGTTTTATTAAATCAACAAATTTACAGCTACATTTAGATTACATATATCATGTATATACAATATTGACCTTGGTATAATGATAATGTTATATCAAAATATAAAATTACGGAGTGAAACATCCGATACATTTGACTTAGAGGGTATTTAAAGGATCTATTTTGATAGGTTTATATGTTTTGATGATATGCTATAATTGTACGACTATATAATAGAATAGAGAACGGGGAAATAAGAGACAACAACCAAATAGCAGAAAACATCCCAAGACCACCAATAGGTCTTCAACGCAGCGAGAAAATCTTGCACTTGGAGTCGGGCTTCAGCTGGCCCCCAAACAATAATGAATACTAGTTCAGCAAAATGGACGCGGCACTGAAGTCCGAAACATACAAATGAACCGAAATTAAAAAATACACAGTTGGGATGTAATTACAACACTTCGTATTGCTTGAAAACATTTTGTTCAAGTGTTTTGTACTCTAAAACATCGCTATACTACCCTTTAAAATCTGATTTCAGGAATGTATTTCTCAATGTCATACATGAAAATATTTAGAAAAGATTAACTGCCTTTTGTGATGAAACAAAATAATTGTCAAACACAAAATTACGAACAAATCAGAAAACAATAACAATAAAGATTAAAAGATTTACCTTAAGAAAACTTATTTCAAATGAGATAGCACATACTAATTTGTACGGAGATGTTGTTTACCGGCCCCGGAAATTTAGATACGATCCGGGTAAACTTATCAATCATTTAAATAAACTTATTCTCAAAGATAACCAATTTAACAGTAGCTAGATCTTTGAATATTGTTTTATCGGTATAAATATTGATATGGTTATCAGTAAATTAAAACAAAACAAAATCTCATTTTTATATACATTTGCACATTCATGGTTCTACAATCTGTCGATACCTATTTTGGGGCATTGCTGTTAATGACGTCTTTACACTAGATCTATTGGATGTTGATTGATATTTTATTTTTAGTCTTAGAAACATGATTTTTTTTATAAGTTTTCATTGGCTTTGAACTAAGTGTCAGTAACTGCGAGTACTCTCAGATCTGTATTTTGTGTCTTTTTTGTTGTGTGTGTGTGTAAGAGGGGGTATAAATTCCCAGGTACGTCCGATGTTTATTTTTTTTAGTTTTTTTTCTGCTTTTTATCGATATGATGAGTTAGCCCTTTTCAAATTAATTTAATACTGTAAAAGTACTTTTATTCATGGGTATCAATTACCTCAAATTCTTAAATTCGTGGATGTTAGTTTTTTCTGTAGAAAAAAATCGAGTGAAGAATTTAAAGCCATCACAAACGATTTTTTTTGAAAAAAAATATATGTTGTTTTATAATGATTTGTGGAAGATTAGAAAATAAGGTGATCATTTTTACTTTCTTGCTCATCTTTCATTACTGACAACATTGATCAAATTTTTAATAAAATGTGTGCTTTCGGAAATAAGCTGATTCATCTAAGCTTACACATTGTAGCGATTGAAGGAAATTGCAAAGTCAACATTTTAATTGTTGCACACCTGTAATCATAAGTGGTGACACTCGAGATTTAATGATCAACAGATTAACCATCATCAAAGGTGTTAATTAGGTAGCAATTAGAATTAATTCTTGTGAAATAAAAGAGCAGGCCCAATATGATTTTTTTTAACGAAAGTTATGAGGAGATAAAATGAACACATTCATCACTGCACATTATCAACGGAAGTCTGATTTTCGTAATTTTATATGAGAATTAAAAGATTAAAAGTACAGTTTGTTTTTTTTAAGATAAAATAAGTAAAATCTGTCTGAAGATGTACAATATATATAGTTCGTAGTGCATTTTCTAATATTCGATGCATTCTCTAGATTATCTGCCAGTATCCATGTAGTCAAACCTACATGGAGATCTTTTTTTTTTTTTTGAATGTCTTGATTTGGACAACAGTTGTTATATTTCGTTGGACACTTAAATATGTGGATAAAGCCATCCATGAAAACCATGAAAATTGGTACCCCACAAATAAAAGTACTTTCACAGTACTTTGTTCTTAGGTTGTTCTGTTACACCACTGTCCCGTGTTAGGAGGGAGGGTTTGAGGCCAGCAAATATGTTTAAGCCCGCCACATTGTAGATCTGTATGTGCCTGTCCTAAGTCAGGAGCGTGCAATTTAGTGGTTATCCTTTGTTGTTGTATATCATATTTGTTTTCGTTTATTGTTCTGTATATAAATCAGGTCGTTAGTTTTCTCGTTTGAAATGTTTTACATTTGTCCTTTTTGGGCCTTTCATAGCTAACATGCCGTATGGGTTTTGCTCATTGTTGAAGGCCGTACGGTGACCTATAGTTTTTAACTATAATATCATTTGGTCTTTGGTGGACAATTGTCTCATTGGCAATCATACCACAGCTTCTTAAATTTATGTACAATAATGTTAAACTATATCTTCATTTGGATTCTAGAATGATTCAACAACATAATTGGTTGAGTGAAGTTGTACAGAGCAAAATGTACAGTAGTTATAATATTGTGTAACTTACTTCAAATAGATGGGTGAACATACGATATTTAGGGTCCGTTTTTATACATTTAAAGATCTCATCTGTACATTAAAGCATACACTATTTGATTATCTAGAAATAATAATACTCATATCATATCACACATGATAGCTCTTTGCCCTAGAAGCCTAAATACATGTAACTTACTTCAAATAGAGGGTGAACATACGATATTTAGGGTCCGTTTTTATACATTTAAAGATCTCATCTGTACATTAAAGCATACACTATTTGATTATCTAGAAATAATAATACTCATATCATATCACACATGATAGCTCTTTGCCCTAGAAGCCTAAATACATGATGAAATTTTGTAGATTTTAATAGTAAAAGTATTCATATGTAATAAGAAATCGATCCATGTAAAGGAAAACAACACGAATCATATTATGTTCATACTATCCCACAAAGTAGAAATGAAATATTGGTTCCATGATCCGCAAACTTCCTGTTAATAAAATGTTGGATTATTTGAAACACTAGGGTTAATTATCTTAAGACATAATTTCCATTGGCAGTATTTGGCACAACTTTTTGGATTTGTTGGTGTTTAATGTGTTTTGACTACTGATGAATCATATGTAACCGTAACGAGCGTATGGAGTACTAAATTATAAGTCTGGTATTTTTTGTTTAACTTCGATTTTTTGTATTAAATTAAAACATAATTAACAATGTTTCAATATGTACATGTATTGTTACACAGTTATGAACAATTGTGGCCCTACATCCTGTCGCTACTATGTTGGCATTGCAAAAGGTAATTCCTTTCTCAGACATTTGATTACGTATGGACACATACAAATATATTTAATGTGTACAGATTGTTTTTTTTTAAATCCATGACATGATTTATTCAATAGCCCAAACAGGGAAATATTATATTGACAGGAGCTCCAACGAAAAATTATGACATTCACATCCCTACTGAATTCTTTAGAAGATTAGAGGTTCCGATTCAGTTTGTCAAGTACGTTAAAACTCCTTTGTGGGGATCTGCGAGATACCGCCTTCTCTTGTTTCATTTACGAATATCAGAAGCTACTCTTACCAAGTCATTGTATATCGAATGCCTCATCTTCCTACCAATGTAAATAAACACGTAATGTTATTTGTAGATTGCTACAGTAATGGTGACACCTGTTTCTATTCAATAAACGAATGCAAAAGCCGAAAAAATCTAAAAAAAATCGGTCAATATTTAGCCAAAAAACAACTGAAAATTAATTGCAATTGAAAGGACAGGGAGATTATCCACGTTCTATATTTTTGTTAAATATCTGTTAATCCTCGGAACTTGGTAAATCTCGATAATAAAAATTACATGTCTCTAAAGAAGAACATTTGCAGAAAATAATATGAGATGCGTTTAGCGTGGAGAAGGAAGAAGGATAACTGTTTATA